CGCGATTTTCACGTGACAACGAGAATTCTTCCGAGAACAATCAGCGCCAACCTTACGAAGAAGTGCACCAATCGGCCGCCGATAATAAGCGAATTGATAAATTTTTGTCGTAACATCAGCCCGTGCAGAAAACTGCACCGTGACCGGTCGATATAGCTCTCTGATCTTGAATAATGTAGCCCAACACCGCACTGCGGTGGACCCTCTGTGATTCTGCACGCTTTTTGGGTGTCGACTCGTTCGTGATTACATCAGAGTTTTCGTTGGATCGAGCAGCGCTTTTCAAAAAAACCGAAGCGAATTTTATTTCAGACGTCAGAATTGGCGAACGTATTATTTATCCGAAGGCGGTTGTCGCCGCAATGTAGGCCAGGCTATAGAGCCCCAGGGAATGGGCATGCTGTGCTGAAAAATGTAAGATGTGGGCAAGCGATAGCGGGATCTCATGATTTCGCGGATGCGCCTGAAATTTCAGGACGGACTTCTTACGCCTGTTTTCAAGACGCTTTAAATCATTTAACGCTGAAAACGAAGAACCCGACAGTTTAGATCACTTTTTTTTTAGGTTTCTGTGGGCCGGTACTTAATCGTTATATATTTTATAGATTGTATGTACAAATAATAGTAATATTAAAATTAAGTAAAATAAAATAAATAAATTTCCATTAAATTGAAAATTTGCACATCAAAAAAATTTTTCACTTCAAAGTGGTGGTTCCGTCTGATTCAGTCGCGTTCCTTTGAATCGAATCCTCAAGAGATCCATTTCTCACACACACTGGAAAATGTAGTTAAAGGACTGAAGCAAAAGCAGTTGCGTGGGAAATTATACACACTGATTTACAATTAGAAACGTTTCAGATTATAAAGCAACATAGGCAAAATCGTTAAAAAGAACAAGCAACAAAATTTAATTCAAATCAAGATGTAGTGCGATAATCCCATTTGACGTTAAAGAGCAAGAATCGCCAGTGCCACTTGTAGCACTTAACAGTACGTGCCATTAAACTTAGCTTTCACCCATGTGTCAAATAGTCACCTTTGTGTGGGATATTATATCTGGGACATTTCATTTGTCTGTTCTAATAGGTATTTATTTTATAAAAAGCGTAACCTCATTAGTGATAGTACAAGTCAACGCATTCTATAGTGGTTGATTAATCTGATTTTCAAACACAATTTTATCTGCGAACATAAACATAATTTCGTTTAACGTTCAAACGAATAAATTTAAGTTCGTTTGTTAGTCGCTTCCTTTGCAACAATTTTTTTATTTACATCAGAAACGCAAGTTTGAAAATTAAAAAAATATATATAGTTAAAACGAGAAAATCGCGATAGTACAAGGTAATTATAAAACATCTTTCTGTATCTGGCTTCTACGGACTAGATAGCAATCTATCATACGACTTAAATTATTGGTTGCCTACCGATCAGGCAGCAAACACACTGAAAAGCTTAAGGGGGGCGTCTGCGCGCCAATTTTACCACTTTAGGAAAGTCCATTGTAAAGCTCCGAGAGGCGCTGTCCCCTAGTGGTGAGTTACTGAACCTATCGGTAAAGGTCGAACTGCAAGAAAACCCAGCTACCTTGATATTATCGTTCGGTATTAGCGATCCGTTTTGTTTCCAAACTTAAACTGTTGAAAATGAAAACATTTTTGTGAACCTCAAATATATTCTCGTGGGTATAATCCCGGGTTTCTTTTACTTCCCGAGCGTAAGCGAAAGAAGTATTGCAATCGAGTCCGTCGGCCGACTCTCTACTTTTACGTTTTCTCGACCTTCCATGACCCCTACAGTACGAAGAATTAGGTCTCCCTTTTCCGTTTATCTGACCGTCTGTCTGTCCGTCCGTCTGCCTGCCGTCAGGGATTTTTATTAGACAGATAATCTCCGAAAGTACTGGGCGGATTGTTATCAAATTTTGTATTTATATTAGGATTAGGAATAACATGTAGATGGTAAAACGCTAACCAAAATTTGTCTAATCATCCCCACAAATAATCTAATGACCTCACTTCAATATTATACATAGTAAATGGGTTTTAAATTGTATAAAATAACATAGTCCTACACATGTAGAATTTATGACTCCGTGTTAAGTTTTTACCCGAAACATTCAGATTTTTGGAAAAAAAAATCAAAGTTATGAAACAACATTTTGCAATTTAATTTTGAAACTGCAAAACCGAATGCTTCGAAATCTTGCAGATGTTTTAAGGCATGGTAAATTTTTAATCAAAATATCACTCATCACCTCCAAAAAATTGACGCAAAATTTTGCTGAACAAATCCTATCTAAAATGTGCAAAATATGACCAGTCTATACTTGTAATTTATCAATGCATTCATATTTTTTAGATTTGCTTATATAAGGTGACTCAAAAAAAATCAGTCAATTTATTTTATTGAATCATTTTATTGACATCAATACAAAATTTTGTAATAGAAAAATTCACTTGTATCAAACGGTTAGCACGTTTCTTTACCTTTACTCGAAGATTAAATACATATTTTTGTTTTAGCCTATAATGGTTGCCATAAAAAACAATAAAATTCGCAGAATAAAATCTTTTAATTTCTTGAAAGAAGTGGATTTGACAAGCTGTACTTTATGGGCGAGGGAAGTTCTGTCGAAGTAATCTTTGTCCAATGTTTTTATTATTATTAAAAAAAGAAATTTTACACGTATGTTTACATTGCTTGACAAGGCATAATTTTCTCAATTTTTCTTCATTTTTGTTAATTATTGCTTTTTATATAAATTTTTCAGATTTTTCGTTACGTTGTTTGTTTTTAAGCTCGGTTTATTTATTATGTATATGAGTGATGGGGAAAATGTTTTTTCTCTCAGTTCCCTAATATGATATTACGCTGTGTGTAGTTGAAGATAATTTTAGTGTTATACTGTTTAAAACCATACAACAGTCTTTGACTTTTTTTCTTAGTATTAAAACTAAAACTAGAATTAATGAAATATCGAGGAGAGTACGCTTAGCGGCAATAATCTACACGAAATATTGACACGATTGATCACAAATTAATTAAATATTGCAATGGTGAACAACTGCACGAAACTGCATTTTAAAAATTTACAAAAAAAAATAAAGAGAGGAAGTGAATTTGGAGTTCAGATTTTTCTACTAATTTTGCACTTTTTGAAACTTTTTCAATATATGTATTGTAGTTTGAAGTGACTCTTTGTTTAATTTGTGTTTGTTCAAAATTAATTAACAGAAAGCAAAAAATCAAAAGAAATACCATCGAAAAAAATATTGATTTTTTTACCATTTGATGACATAAATATATCTTTTTTATACTGAATAATCATAAAATTTTTTCTAATGTTAATAGCTTTATATTAATTTAGAATATTACAAGAATCTTTATCAGTAGTGCAAGAGTTAGAAATTCTTTTGTTCGACATTTTCATTATTGAAACCCGAAACGGATTACGACCTCCTACCTGATTTTCTACACGGCATCCCTACAATAGATTTTTTTTTCGCAAGATGTAAAATTGTACTAAATGTGACATCTGGCTTGTTTCTGTCTCTGTCTTTGTCTGATGCACTGTATACCTGTGTCGGACAAAGACAGAAACAGAAACATACCTTTTCTATTATACTATCGCACGCAAAAGTTGTCGGTACCCAGCAGCGAGAGGTATTAGTCTTCTCCGCCTCCTTTTTGCGGGTTTCCATAATACCATAAAAATATAAAATAAAGGTCTAAAATTTCCTGGTTTGAAAGCTTCGTACTGAATAAATTTATTACGGGTAGAAGTTGTATTTTCTGTTAACAGATCAATCTGATCCAGCGAGCAATCGAAAAAACTGACGAATATTGACAATTTGGAAATGACACAAGACGAAATCTCGGAATGAAATGTATGAAAATTAAAACAATGTTTGTGTCTATTTAAATGATGAAACATGTTTACAGTTATTTAATTGTCTTAATGCCCTTTTCAACTTTCATTTCATTCGTCATTGGATTCATATTAATAATAATAATTTATTACACATTAGTTCTTTTCCACATATCTGACATAATTTGTCTGCTATTACCTTAATTTATCAAATTGTAATGATTGCATCATTAATGTTTATTGTGAAATTCATGATTTTTAAATACAATCTTCCAAGATTGGCGCTAACTTGTTTTAATTGTCTTAATTGATGATTTCCATTGTTGTACTGCCGACGTTCTTAGTGTTCTCATTATGATATATTAGAATATTCGCAGTTCAAAATCATCCACTATATCTTTTTAACTGTATCAACTCAAAAAGAACTGATTTGCTAACTCCGAGTCGATAGTTTTCCAAAAAAAAAATGTTTCATTTAACATAAAGGCCTAATTTAAAATAAAGCAATATAGTCAGAGAGAACACAGATTTTTCTGAATTGGACTCCGTTTCGCATAGTTATAACAAATAAAATTCCAGAAAGTTGTTAATAGATAAATGTACCTCATGTAGGCTTCCCTACAATTATATATTTATATAAATGGTTGCACGCTCATCTCACTGTGTGCCGCTTGTTTCTTTTTCTTCTCAGTTAATTAATCTCTCTATTACTACATTTACATGCGATCGTTTGCTCGGACTTCCTGAATCCGATCTTACATTTACAAACCAGTCTAAACTGACTCGGTACGAATTCAAATAACACTGTAAATCCGACTGTAAAGACTCTTTACATAATCAAATTTATTAGTTCAAACTCAGGTAGCCTGAACTAATAAATGTATGTAGACGAAGTATATATCTCCGTCGGGAACGACGTAAAAAATTAACTAATTAGCTCCTACAATGGAGATTAACAGTAGAGTGTTTATATATGTGTATCGTCCAGATTTGCGGTTATTTTTCTAAAATCTTTGTCTTACAATATATACTTAAACTAACAATTTACTGATTATCTCTACGTTTTACCTTTTTAATTTTTGACGTATAATTTTTAAATTTGTATTCCAGTTTAATCAAATTTCAGGCTTGGATTTGGAAAAAAATCCTAGCAGATGACAGCGTAGCTGCTGAAATGCGTCAACAATTTGTAAGTTTTCAGTGTCGTTCGCATAACATGTTTGTATTTGTGCGCTATGTCAGTCGTCTGAAACAAGTCTTTGTATTTCATGGTGAAAAAAAGTTTCTATTTATATTTTAAATACTTGGAATGTTTTTTTTTAATCTGCGAAGGACGGAACCTAAGTGCTTTTGTTTTTTAAGAACGGTTTGATATTTACAATTGCAAGAGAGGTACGTCAAAAAAGTATTTTCAAACAATCTTTTACAAATGTTTATAAAACATAAATTTAAAATGAAAGCATTTGTAAATGTTTATTAAATATTATTTCTATTAATTTTCGCAAATAATAATGGGTGTACAATAAAAAATATATTTGGAGCAGACCTTAGAATTATTATTTGCCTTTTATGTATAACGGGGTAGTTATTTTCAATTTTGCAGTTTTTTTTTTGCTCTGAAGATTTTTTTCAACAATAGTTTGGAACTGCTATCTTGTAAATAATGTTGTTAACAAGGATAATGTCCTAGCCACTAAGATAATAGGTTCATTCCTTGTTAAAAAATAATTTTGTGCAGAAATTTACTCTAAAATTTTATTGTAGAACTGCAGTAAAGTGGACGTAACTGTAACGAAAAAAACAGTTAATGGTATAGATTGTTTAAAAAAAATTAGTATGACAAAATAATACTTAACCATGAAACATCCATAGAGTGACAGAAGTTGAAATTGTTCCAGGACATTACCGCACATGCGTAGAATATAAACAATTTTCTGAAAGTTAAATTTAATGTAACCCTGTTGCTTTAATTTAGTTTATTTGATTGATTAAGATTAAATGATTTGGGTGAAGACAACTAAATTGAAGGCATTTCCTTTATGGTGTTTAGGTTAAGTACAAAAGAAACAATGTTATAGTTGAATTGTTTATAAAATATTTTTAAAATTGTTAAATTTGTTTTCATAACGTTTGAATTAAACTGACGAAGGTGAGACGATCTTTGACCTATTTGGACCCACTGCATCGCTTTTGACATTTGACCTCTGGCGAAAAATTAAAATGTTAGTGTATGTTATGAAATTTGGGAATCGAACGAGTACGAAGAGTATGAAAGAAGAATACACAAGTTGGGAATTACTCGTAAGGTTAATCAGAAAGATAAGAGGATTTTTATTAAAAGCATAAGAAGAATAGTGAGCTATCAATTTTGCATGAATAATAAGAAGACAGTGAGAGAGTATTTGAAGAAATCGTCACTTAGAAATAAGAGATTAGAAAACAAAAGGAAAAATATGTTGATGCAGTCATTGACTAGAAAAGAGAGACAGGCAAAGAAGTTGAAAATATAAACTTTGCCTAAATTAAATATAAATTATAGTAAATAACAGCGAAATTCGAAGAAAGATACCGAATTCGTACACAAAGGGTCACAAAATCTATATATTCATGCCAGATTTTTTAAACTATTTAATTATCGTTCTTTTAGTGTTTCTGTACCAAGCAACTTCTACTAGTCATTTTTATGTTCTTTTTAACCATATACAGACTGGTTAATTATTCATTCCCCAATATTTGTAAATTTGAGATGGTAAGAGATACGAATTTGGTTAAACTTTAGAAAAGCTGTGAGAAATTGATCCATAAAATGAAACATTTGACAGAAAAAAAATCAAAAAACGATTTTGTGAACTTCAAATATGACTAAGAAATTATTTTTCTCTCTTGGTTTCCTACGAAAGCTTATCGACTCATAGTGGGAAACTAGTGGGACCCTAAGAACCAAATTTTTGTAATAAACTTGATGGAAAAAGCTTTTGTGTCGGTGCTCTATATAATTATTATAAAAATCTGAAACAATCGGTGAAATGCATGCAAAAAAGGAATGTGTTAAATGAATAAGAAAAACAAATGTGAAAACCGACGAAATGAAAATGAGAAGGGAAAATATATGAGCACCATAAAAAGTTTATGGCAATTGTATTACTCTTAGTAGATTTGCAGCTTATATGGTAGTCCATTTAAGCACGTAATGTAAAATAAATTTCATTGTCTAGTATTACTATTATTAAAATAATCGTGTGAACAAACCAGCCCAAATCTTCTCAGTTAGCTAGTTGATGAGCCAAATCCGCGATGGTCGAGAATGCATGTTAGAAGGTTGAACTCTTCTTGAGGGGACCATCGAATTAACCGGTTACGTCACAGACGGAAATTCTTGAGATTGCATTGCAGATGCTATTGCACTCGGCATGCCAGAGGCGGGAGCGGCCAGGGTTTGTCATTTACGATTTTTTAATTGACACTAAATGAAATGACCTCACTGAAATGAGTCTCTAACGGTGTCATTTTATCCATGACACTATTTCTATCTGATGGATCGAGTGCTAAACGCGAACGCTTTCAAAGAAAATCAATTAGGGTCCGTATAGAGCCATGGAAATCGTTCAATACGAATGAAACATATTAGTCATGTCGTAAGTAATAGTGCATAATTTTATCTGGATATTTTTTGCAATTTATCCAATTTTACTTCATTACACTGGCAAGATGTTCACGAGCATGACTAAGGTGAAAAGATCTGATAGTCACGGTGAATTTTTCAACGTCATGTCATGTTTCTGGAAAGCTGGTGTTAAATTGTATCGGCGGCGGGATTCATACGTACACGACTGACCATATTCAATGGGAATTTGGTTAATTTTCCACGTACTTTGGTCAGGTTCGTATCGTGAGAAGTGGCGATGATAAGGCGAATCTTACGTAAAATGACCACAAAACCGCACAACCTCATCTTGTTAAAGACGAGAGATGACATACACTGACTGCATTTTGTAAAACAGCCGGGAAAAACTTTGTTTTCCAAGAGGAAGCGACAATATCGTTTGCGGAAATGTGTTGCATAATTTTTCCTGCAGTCTGTACATAAAGTGCACGTTATGTAAAGTCTGGTAGAATGATGAACGCTATTTCTCTTCTGTCAATAACTTACTTTTTTACTTTTTCTAAAAACTCTTGCATCAATACTGACAAAGAAGCAGCATGATTGTGTAAATGTCTTTCAGTCACTTAATAAATTTTAATTTCACTCGTTAGTATTTACACACCTGGAAGAATGGCATCCGCAAGTTGTTAAACACCAGCTTGTCACAATAGCAACAAAAATGCATTCCTTTGCACTTTTAACGTTGACGAGTTGAAGACGTAATGAGTGTCATTACCACTAAATGCAGTTATTTGGGCAGTGATAGGAACAACTTTTCATTGCTCAAATTATAAATACAGCTTTTAGTCGTTTATAATGATCCAGTTTTTCAATTTTAAGGTACATACGACATTTTATTGTCGGTTGGCGGGTTTTTATTAAAATTAAAATCATAAAATGGAGTGTATATAAATAACACCATTCAGCAGACATTTATTTATGGTAATTTTATTGTTTTATTATAGTCTGCTAAATTTGAGTTATCATTTTTGCTTTCCGTACTATCCATGTCAACATACATATTTCATTAATTAACATTTTGTATTTTATTATTTATGTAAGTACTTGCACTTCCCAACTGCTCATGTAATGTTTTTATTATGTGAGAACATTTTTACATAAGAATAAAAAATTAATAAAAATAAATTAGATAGATAGAGTAGACCCATATAGAAGAATAACCATCATTCTCTGTTATATTTTATATAACAAGAAACCCTCATAGCAGCTGAATTAAAGAATAATACCAGTTGCATGATCCATATTTGGACTTCTAGTTACAATTAAACTATCAAACAATTAAGACATCAGAGTTTCTGCTAATTCCTTATATGGATGTTTATCGCGTATCTCTGATTCCACTTATTTTAATTCCTCTTCCAAGGGTACCTATATCAGATGGTTTACAATCTACCATTCTAAAATTACGTAATCTAAATGGGATAATTGGATTGTGACAAAGTTACGCGACTTCTTTTCTCAATATTTACCCAATACTTGATACAAATCTCCGATTTCTAAAAATTTGGTAAGATGCTTTTTCAGAGCTTCTATCTACTTGGAATTACCAAATGTGTTGACAAATAGAGCCACCATCAGAATATTTTCCCTTTGACCTTTATAATACCGTGTGATTTTTTTAAATTGGTGCTCTAGTTAGCATTGACGCGTACGTCAGCAGAGCAATTCAAACGACAATTAGTCTTCTTTTTCTTAATTTCTGCAGCATCTTCTGAGTTTCTTTGCAAAACTACATTCTCGTGATTCTTCACTTAAAGCCATTGTAAATATTCTACTAATATTGTACGTGGATTTGTAAAAACGCAGTCGCACATATGCTTGCTTTATTTTAATATCATGTCGCGCAGCTAACGAACTGAACAACTTATCATTTCTGTTAACATCATCAAGACACGCGACATCATTAGGTAGACACTAAAATGTAAAATGCACTCAGAGTTTAAATACCGTAGCGTTTCTTGAATCATCACACTTATAAAATCTTGAGAATCGTTTTTATATCTGTAACCTTTAGCGATGAATTTATTATTTTTATCTTGCTCCCTTTTGAGCTATTTAAGTCTTTGTATTCTTTTCATAACTTGACGGCGCACTATACATATATATTAATACTGATAAATTGATAATGATAACGATAGATCTGATGATATGAAACAATTTAGTATATGATCTTAGTATCATCAGTTTTAATCAAATATCTTTTAGCTTGATTCTACCAAGGATTATAGCGAAAAAATCGAAGTGCGCCTGCAAAAAGTGATGCCTAAAACATCAATTTTCAATAGTCGTCAAGTTTGTGATTCTACATTTTGTGAATTGTCATCGAGTCTCCCTACTTTACGTTTTCTTTAGTTTTCACGACCCCTAGAGTACAAAGAAGTAGGTCTCCAGTTTCCGTCTGTCTGTCTGCCGTCCCGATTATTATTAGACAGATAATCTCCGAAAGTGCTGCGCCGATTGTTGTCAAATTTTGTATTTATGCTGGAAATATCATGAAGAATTGCAAAACTGAGTACGTTGAACTC